GAGAAGTGAAGGAAAAGGGTGATAACAATGATACTAACCAAAACACTCTCCATTTTCCGGCAGACGAAACTTGATCTTGATGCACTGAAAATGTACTTGTCCTTTTGTGATGTGAGTATTTGTTTACGGAAATTTCTAATTAAAAGCAATCTCTAAAGGGAATTAAAAATCACTCCTTACAGGCGTTCATTTTGGTGTATGCATCCCATGATCGCAGCTCATTCGCCAAAGTTGACGAAATCAAAAAGAACATTGACCGGTTTAAAGAGAAAAAAGATGTAAGATGAAAGAATGAAAGAATGTTTTTATTGACAGTTGTCTCCAATGACTTGTTTTGATTTTTTCGCCTTGTAGATACCCGTAGTTTTATTTGCCCACCGAATGGAGATGACCAATGAGACAGTGAATCGAATTGAAGCCCAGAGTTGGGCGGAAAGAGAAAAGGTGAAGCTGTTTGAAGTGAACGCCAATGATCGAAGCACTCTTATTGACAAGTTTGTCTACATTACATCAATATTGAGTTTTGTTCCACACAAGTCTTCATTTTCACAATTACGGAAAGGAAAACATGGAATACCTCTCGAGTTGTGAATCACTTAACCTTACATAAGTTTTTATTACTTAAAATTTTATCTACGTTTACCTTTATCATCGTCATCATAACAGATTGCAATATCAATTTTTACACCATATCTCTCGATTTCTTTAAAATAACTCTTCTCTCTCTCTCTTTAGCTAGTATTGTCAATGTTTTTCAGTACATAGACGTAACCGGCTTTGAGAGTAACATGTCNTATAACAGATTGCAATATCAATTTTTACACCATATCTCTCGATTTCTTTAAAATAACTCTTCTCTCTCTTTAGCTAGTATCGTCAATGTTTTTCAGTACATAGACGTAACCGGCTTTGAGAGTAACATGTCCCGTAGTATATTTTTGTAACAATTTTTGTTGGAAAATTTTTATTGGTCAATAAATTGACTTGCTCAAAAGAGTGATTACACTTTTTGGGTAAAAATGAAAGAGAATAGTGCTTTTTGCTTCAAAGTTGCTGCAAAACAGTGAATCCCTAAGTGTGACACACACCCACACTAAGACTTGCTAGCGGAAGGACGAGAGGGGGCCGAGTTGCTGTCATTCTTCTGCTTTGGCTTTCGAGTGCGCAGCTTGCGCAGCTCGGCGAGCAGGTCCTTGTAGGAGACATCGTCGAGGACGAATGGCTTCAACTCGTGCGTCGTGTACACCTGCCCCTGGTCCTGGTCGCCCAGCTTGGAGGCCACCTTGCTCTCTGTGGCCTGGCTGGCAGCAGAGCTGGACGCCGCCATTGAGCTGCCAACTGAATTCGCAGAGCCGCTCATTCCCTTGACCATCGGACAGTTGCCGGCAAGGGCTTCGTTCACCTCGAGCTTAAACAGCTGCGGGTACTCTTTCCGGTAAAAGTTGGGCACCTCGATGGTCGGCTCGGCGCCTGCGCCCCTTTTCTTCTTCTTCTTTGCATCGGCGGCCATGTTCATCGGCTCCTGAACCATTCGGACGCTGTTCGTCTGACGGCACTTTTTCTCAAAGCTCACCAGCTGCTTGAAGAAGGACAGATTCGGTCGGGCACAGTTTCGGGCATCCTGTAGCGAGTCAAAGGCTTCCTTCAGGCTCTTGTGCATGTGCTTGATGGCGTACGCTGCAAGCAAATAGTGTAGTGTAAGAGAAGGGGCCATCTCAAGGAAACGACTCACCAAGGACAACGGTGGACGAGCGACTCATGCCTGCGGTACAGTAGACCACGCAGTTGCCGTCCTTTTCCTTGAGAGCGCTGTGCATCGCATTGACCACCTTGTCTAGGTGGGAGCCCACTTGGAAAGTGTAGTTGTCGACAAACTGCAACAAAACTTTTTTTAGTTACTAAAATACAACAAAAATGGAATACTGACTGGAAACTTGTGGCAAATGAGCGACGAATGTTGATTACCTCGCGGGACGGAGGGAATCTCCTCGGCAACATTGACCAGGCACTGGTGTTGGAATAGAGAGGTTTAAAAGTTGTCACAGTAAGCTGTTTTTTCTACCTTAATGTTAAACTGCTTCAAGTTTTCAATGGTGACCCCGCCAATGCCGGTGAGGTAGATGTTCTGACTAAAGGCAGAAAAGGTGCAAAAGGGCGCATTGAGCAGCAGTCGCAGTGGAATGGATATGCTCGGGTTGGCCAGAATCTCTGTGCGCTCCTCCTGCGTCAGAAAGTGCTCCAGTGTGGCCTTTGAGGCACGAGCAAGACGGGAGTTGCCAGTGCAGGCGGACTTGTCACTCGACTTGGCGACACTGTCGTCAGAGGTTCCCTGAGGGAAGCAGCAATTTCCCATGGTTCTTTCCGAGAGATGCGAGTTGAGTGTGGAGAACTGAATGCCGTCGAAATGAATCGACAAATACTGGTGACGATGCAATTTATTCGGTGTGAATAACATTTATCCAACAATGTAAACAGTTCGAATTAATGTGAGTTTCTAAAAACAGTATTGATGGCGTCCGTTTTCAAGCCAGTTCTCCAGATTAGGTGTGACTTGAGGTGTTTTCTGAGTCAATTTTGGAGTAGTATTTGCCATCCCAGTCTGATTGATTGCTGCTAATACTTTTACTACTACTTTCTGAATCCAAACCTGCAGTAAACTTTTGCAATGGCTTCTTCTGATCACTAGCAAATGGTTCAGTTGTTGGTGAAGTTGCACTTGTCGGCTTGATTACGGGACGACCTTCGCTGTGGGGCACTTTAGCAGTTTTGAGCTTTGACACAGCGTCGTTCGTACTGGGAGTACTGCTGAAAGAGATCAATGGTTGATTTGGTGAATGGCTGGATGGTGTCAGTGGAGAAGTTTTGTCTTTGGTCTTTTTTCTGTTTTCTTTTTCTCGGTGACCAACAGGAGTTTTGGGTGTTTTCTTCTTTTTCTTCTGATGTGGACTGTGCTTGGATCTGGGTCGAAGAGACCTCCGTCGACCTTGACATCCAAAACATAGAGGAGAAAGATAGTGTCGATGAACCTTTTCTGTGTCTTCCTCTTCCGGTGAATCGTTCTCTGTTTTCCCCTCTGTCACTTTCTTTTTGCTGGTTAGTTGTGAAAGCCTCAACTTCATACGTTTCACCGACGACTCTACCTTATCCTTAAACTGTTTCCATTTAAAAATGTTTGAATCTTCAACTGGCTGCAACCCCGAGCCTGGAATTTGAATCGTCTGCACACTACTGCTCGGAAGGTCAGCTAGTAAGTTATCATCGGAGGGTATAGTTGATGGTACTTTGGAGGCGATGACTTTGCTTTGCTTTTTTGTTGGTGCTTTAACTTTCGATGTCTTGGCAGACTGATTTTTTAGATTTTTTTTCAGTTGTGGCTGCAGTCTATCTCGCCTTCCCCAGCAACAAAAATTGCACATTGTCTTGTAATATTCTTCTGTACAATGATTGATTCTAAATAGTGAGCTTTATAACTTTACAATTGTAATTGTTGTCGGTGCTCATTTAGAACAAATTGTCAAAAGCAAACTGTTCAACGACAAGAGTACATGTGCATGTACAGTTTTATGATTGTGCGTGTCTGTGATGTGCATGAGATTAATCGAGCCATCGATTTCTACTTTCCTGCTAGTGACGCCACACTTATCGCCCAGCCACTGGTTCAGTTTGGCCATTAGCTATCATATACACACACTGCTTTTTCCACCAACTGTTTACCATATGGTGGTGGCACAACAGTTGACCTGACCCATCAGGGCAAGAGAGAGAGAGAGAGAGAGAGAGAGAGAGAGAGAGAGAGAGAGAGAGAGAAGAGCTCT